ACTCGATATGACTGTCTCTATATTCATCCTACCAACGCATTTCATTTAAACTACTCGTTGCGGAATGTTATGTAATGGATTATTCAGCTGACTTACATAGTTCTTATACTGATATTGCCGAAATTTTTTTGAAGTCTCTGTTGTAGGAAATTGCCTTGATCGGTCGCTTGTGATCGATCTGCGTGAAATTTATGGATTGGCTATTCAGCGTTGAATTGAATGCATTGTTGAACGACGGAATATAAGTCTTCCGATAGCTCTTCTCTCGGAACTGAATAACCGTGTTCATTAACGGACATGCAAAGATTGCGTTCGTTTTCATGTGAGTCCGATCGAACTCTTTTACAATTCCTTCGGGTGCCCTGAAGTGTGTCGAATCGGTATTTGAAGGAGTGTCCAATATTACTAACTTGAAAATTGTTGGATGCAATGAATGGGATATCGACGAAAAAGTATGGACGAAAATTTCGGAACCCGTCGTTACTTATCCGATGCCCACCCAAGCCCCAGTCAAAGTCCTAGGCGGTACCTAGACAAGCCTCAGCCAAACACATATAATCGAACCTCATCCAGTGATTAATCGTAAACCCTCAGAAGCGTTAACTATCGAAAGTATCACCTTCATCCCATATCATATGACAATTACAGCTCTTTAGCTCTTCTTAATTGCGCTTTTCACAACAATCGCGTCATTGGATTGTAATTTAGGATGACTTACAAACATTTAATTGAATTTCGTTTTGCAGTTGCACTGTGAAAATGGATTTTTGTGGCATCTGTATTCATTTAAAAAGTTATAAACATTAACGAAAGTTCGATGAAAGAATATTCTCTTAACTGAATTCGATGAGATCTTCTGTTAAATAATTATCCAAAAAGAGTGAAATATCTTCTGATTAATGCCGTCGAACAGCTATTCTTGACAACAGGGAAATTGTGCATTAGGAATTGTTGCTAGAATGTAATCGCTGAGATCTTGTATTAATACCAGACCATAATATCGTTTTTGAATGATGCCAGCTGACAGACTTACGCATTACGCTTTCTAAACTCAACTTTAAGTTATTGTACCG